GAAAATGCTACCTAGCACAGTAACTATGGCAGGTTTTTAATCATTTGGGTACACAAAACCTGGCATCGTGTGCCTGAGTGTTCAAGGATGCTTTTTCCTTTGTATGTAATAAAAATATGGACTTCTTGGTTCTGAGTGAAAAATCAAAGTGACTTGCTTTAATCTCTTAGCCTTAGTTTTCTCATCTGTCACATAAAATTAATGATGCCTCAGCAGATGGAAGTGGAAGTGTTTGAGGATGGACTGTCTTTCAATTTTGCACTAGAGGCATAGGGATACTATCTGTGGGACAGTCACATGTAGTATCTGGCAAGTTCAGGTGTGAGTAATAGAGGTCATGATTAGGAAAATATATCCACTTTGATAAGGCATTATAGATATTGAAGATACCCACCTTCCCTAAAGTATCCTAAAATGTAAGATATCCTATATTTCCACGGTAACCATTTGATAAGGAAAAAATAATAATAGCACTGATGGGTATCTAAGTTTCCAGTCTAACCTGTAGCAGCCTACTTCATTTGGAGAAATTGGAAAAGTAATAGCATCAAACTATTAAGAGAGAAGAAGAACTTTTCAGGCTCAAGGCTAGCTTAGGCTGAAACAGATGTTTTATGATGTCTTTCCTGTTCCCCTTGCTTACCTTTGAAGATTCTGATGTCACTCCCCCATGTTTTAGAAATTGCTGATTCCTGGAAGAAATGTCAACTGACCCTCACTGGGATAGGCCAAGATCTTATTTTTAGGGCTGGTGAGAGGTGAAGGCTTTGGTCATCATCTAGCTAGGGCTGAGCTGGGAGGCATGAGTGGAGAGCTCATCTGGAAAAGGTCGAATAGGAAAATCACACCCTCTGTTGGTGGTGAGGTGATGAGAGGCAAGCAGCCGGTTGAGTTTAACTGTGAGATTGCTGATTAATACAATGCATCGTTAGTGGTTAAGACTCAGTAAGATGACTTGTAAAATGATAGGAAAGCAGTGCGAAAGGCAAATGTTTGGAGGAGGTGGGACAGAGTTGCCTGGGTTTCCTCCTCCATTCTTAATTCATTTAAAAGGCCTGCAGATGAGAGAAGCAGGTTCTAATATAATGAAAGGCTTTGAATCTCATAGGAGAGCCTTCTCGATGTAGAATGGACCTTCTTGGTTCTTTAGCTTGTTACTGGTTTTATGAAAGTGCTACTTGAGAGCTATGTAAAAGATATTAGAGCCATAACATAATATGTACATTTTGAGCTAACACTGAAAAACCTTAATTGGTGCATTCATTGGTTAGAGACAATGTGGATATGTAGGTAGCTACATTATTATATACATGTGGTGGCATTAAAAAATGATTCAATTCAATATTTGAGTTCCTAATTATATCATGCATGAACTCTGCCTTTCTGAGAATATAAACACCAGAAACTGTTTTGAAGAGACTTTTATAGTCTTAGAGGATGTTTGTTGATGAATATTCAAGCAATATCTTGGTATAGAGCACTATTTGTCTCTCGCTTTTAATGGCCCCAGGCTGCTCTTTTTTTTTTTTAACTTTTAATATGTGCAGTTTATCGTCTATCTATACATCAATATAGCTATAAAAGAATTTGAAAACCCTAAGAAAAATGAAAGGAAAGAGATACCAGTTACAACTGGTAAAGCATTATAGTACAGTCTTGGTATGATGTCTGCATTATAGGCTGCTCATTTTTAAATTCCATACCTTTATTACAAAACTAACCTGCCAAATACGACTCTTCAGCATAAGGCAGTATAAGGATGGCAGGGCAACAATTTCGGTTTTAAGTTTTATTGACCAAAGCAAAACAGAACACTAACTTAGATAATATCTCCTGTGAAAGGAACAAAGATCTAATATCTTCTAGACCTTAAGAAAGTGAAAAAAGTAGTGGAGAGTGTTATTAATTGACATTTTACAAAAGTAATGAATAAATTAGATGGTGCTTTTCTGTAAATATCAGTGATGAAGAAATGGTTACTATTTAAATTGTTTTCATTTCTCTTGGGTATATACCTAGGAGTGCAATCGCCAGTGGGTCATATGGTCACTCTATGTTCAACTGTTTGAGGAGCTGCCAGACTATTTTCCAAAGTGGCTGCACCTTATACATTCACACCAGCAGAGTGTGAGGGTTCTGATTTCTCCATATGTTCACCAACACTTATTATCTGACTTTTTGATTCTAGCCAACCATTTAAGTTATAAATTAATACGAGTAGATGTCGAATAGTATGAATCAAGCTCTTTTCCTTTCTCATTGTCTACACAGGTTAGAGCAAAGGAAAACTCAGCTAAGGAGGTAGCTCATATATCTATCTGTCAGATTGACTCCATTATATAAAGTAGCCCAAGTAAGCTCTCAGCATGGATAAAACTACATCACCTGTCAGGGAGTCTTCCTCTACCCTCTCTGTCTATGCCAGGGATTATTAACTGGGGAGCCCTGTAGATTGGAATTCCTTTTATACAAACAAATTCTTAGTTCTTTTCACTTCCTTATTTCTTTAATGCTTATTCTCTATTTCAAAATAAATCAATTGTCATGTTTAACAACACTGCATGAACACTCACCTTTACTAGAAAGTTAAATTCCCACAGATGGTGTTTTTATTTCTGTAGTAGCCTCACCTATCCAGGGCCCCAGGCTGCCACTGGCCTACCTTTATGCAAATTAAACAATGGCACCTTATTCTTAACATGTGTAGTGCCACCTGGAAAGTTGTCATAATAAATGTGCGAATCAGTGAAGTTTATAACAGGAAAGGTGCCCCCTGTGGTTATATATGGTGAACAACCCACAAGCAGTACACAGAGTCCCAGGAATCCTAGCATGGTCACCTGATTTTCTTGAAAAGAATGTATTGCTGGTTTCCTGTCCTCTTCGGGGAGGGACTGTGGTTATCAGTTTCACAGTAAGCATCAGACTCTGAGTTTGGCCTCCACTGATGGGCATTGTCAGCAACAGATTTCTTTGATACTTGTTCATGTCAGTGAAAAGGAGATTTATTTTATAAATCGGTGAAATGATTTCTCTTCTGCCACATTGCTAAAAACCCTGTGAAGATGGTCAAATACAACCTCTACATTTTAAATTAAACTCACCATGGAAACTTGATAGGCCATGGCTACCTCCTAGCTACCCTGCCCTCCTCTATTTCTTTCACAGCCCCTAAGTAGGCTTTGAATTTAGTAGAAATTAAATTCTT